TCTTCCTGGATAAATACTAAATTGATATTTGCCTTGTAAATTAATACGGCTAAAAGCTGAATTGAACTTGCCAGATGTTGCAAAGGGAGGTCAAGAGCTTTTGAGTCATCTGCTGGCAAAGTATATTAGGTTCTACTTGTAGTTACTCCCAACTGTAGACTTGTTATTCTTTGAGGGTTCTTCCTGACTATTTAAGATTTGGACAAGAAGGTATAGTTTATTATTGTAGACAACACAGTCAAACAGAATCCAGTGTCATCTTTATTTTAGTGGACATTAAGTTTGATTAGAAAGAAAATGGGATTGAGTAATGGTGATGTTATTTTCAAAACCACTGCTTTTATGGGTCTTCTAATTTTAATATATATATATTTAAATATTTACCTTATTAGGTGATGGTAGTTTCTACATCAACAAGGCTTGCTTTTTTTTTTTTTTTTGCGGTTCTGGGGAGTGAACTCAGGACCCTGTGCTTGTCAGGCAAGTGCTTATTCTACTGAGCTATCTCCCTGGCCCTCCTTTCTATTTTTCTTTACTTATTTTTGCAGTGCTGGGTTTGAATCTAGGGCCTCTAGGTGAGGGATAAATCTTTTTGTGACTAGCTATAATTTATCTGTTTAAGAACAGTTGTATACCATCTGTCCATTCATTTAGTCTTAGCTGTGTGGTAAACCAAGTGCTATAAATTTAATTGGGATGAGAAAATGCTTGAGAAAAAAAAAAAAAACCCACCACACATGAGACTCTTTGGGGGAAGAGATGAAAATTAAGGTAAATTTGTAGATGAAAGAAAAACCTGAGGATTTAGGAGAAAAACTTCAAATGCTTGGCTTCTAGTATTACATTACTTGTGAGGAAAATATCTGAATATTAAGCAGGTAGATGCTATTACTGTAAATTTATAGTTTTCTAGCACTGTGAAGAAAACAGTTTTATGTTTCCTAGGGTTCGGTTACATTGATGTGAAATATTTCAAGTGCCTTTAAGTAAAAACACACCATGGTAACTATTCTCATTGACCACTAGAGGGTGTATGCACCATGTACTGAAATTTATGCTACAAATGGTGCCCACTTCCAGAAGAAATATTTATGTCTTGTATAAATAGCTAATTTTCAACTTTCTTATAATAGGTACTAAATATACTATACATAAAAGAATGACATTTAAAACAAATTGAACAAGTTATCTGGCCTTCATTGTGACTTGTTTTCTACTAAATTGTGAATTATTTATTTTTATTTATTTTTTTTGGTGGCCAGCTCAGCCCACACTGGGAGTGGGGCTGCTGCAGCATGTGGTGCCAGGGGATTGAACTGCAGTCCCTGTGTGCTTGTCTAAGCTTGCCTAAGCAGGCGCTTTAGACCATTGAGCTATCTTACTGGCCCCTGTTAAAGTTTTTTTCAGACAGGGTCTTGCTATGTAGTTCAGGCTGTCCTGAACTCACTGTGTAGTCCAGGCTGGCCTTAAATTTGTGGTGAGCCTCCTGCCACAGACTCCTGAGGGCAGGGGATACAGGTATACACCCACCATGGCCAGCTCCCATGCCATCATTAACAAATGTTTATTGCTTGCTTGTTCTAGGCACTCTGAGCTAGAAGTCTAGTTATGAACAAGAGAGATTCTTTATTTCATGGAATTATGTGTGGAGATAGATAACAAACAGGAAAACACTTATTTTTTTAGAAGGCTGGTTGTACAATCCAGGATCTTGCACATACTAAGCACACTCCTGAGCTACATCCCCAGACCTGTGAACAGATAAACAAGTAAACAACAGTGTTAGGCTGAATAGTGTCCTTTCAATATTTATGTGCATTCAGTTTCAAAAATTGAGAAGTAGGGTCCTTGCAGATGTAATTAATAAAGGAGATGAGGTCATAGAGATGTCTTTTCACCACCGTGTGTGCTGGTGATATCCATTATTGATTGGACAAGCAAAGAGCAGTAATTCGAACACATTTGACTGTTTACCTGAAGCTGTTAAGCATCTGGGAGTAGCCTGCTAGAGACATCACAGTGACAAGCATCAGAATGGAGATGACTGTGTCCCACAGGGTTTGAAACTGGACATGAGGTACATAGTGTCAGGCTGGCATACAGGCTGGCCAACTGATCAGGAAAGGACTTCCAAAGGTAGCAAGTACAGAGCTAAAGTTGTCTGGGTTGGGTCAACTCATGGGTTTATTGGCAGCTGAACAAACATAGCCCTGGAAGAAGAAAGTTTTGTATGTGCAGATATGTGTGCTCTTATGAAACTAGGGATTGAACTCAGGCCTTTACGCTTGCCAGCAAAGTGCTTATTCCACTGAGCCATCTCCCCTGCCCCCTTGTGTGTTCTTCAGACTTGACATTTTTTAGATTGCAGCAGTAAATGTGGAAGAAATTAAATTATTTTTATTTTATATCTTTGGTGGTACCAGGGATTAAACTCAGGACCTTGCACTTGCCAGGCAAGCACTTATTCCACTGAGCTATCTCTCCAGCCCCCAAAATTAAAATATGTACAGCTAATTTGTGATGATTCTCTGTTGGAGAAACATTGAAATCTTGGTGCAGGAGGAATGGCTGTAAAATGTTCTACCTACAACATGACTGAGCTGATTTGGCAACTTTTAAATAGTAATTTGTAATTAAATCACATAACTTATTTTATTTGATTTCCTCTTTTTATTATTTTGAAGTCAGTTTATCTTTCTAAGCATGGTAGTTTTCAGAATTCAGTATAAACTGTTAACAGTATTATGTCTGTCAGCTACACTTAAAATATACTTTGTGTTCTTCCTATTTTATAAATAGTATTTTACAATTTATAAACCTTTAATCATCTCATATAGTTACTGAATCTCATGTTCTTCATTTCTTTGGCAATGAAAGTGAAAATATTTTTGTTTATGGGGCTGTTTTGCACCATACTCTTTGATGAATTTCTTTAGTAAAACTTAGTTCCTCTGAAGACAGAGGTGCCTTCATCCAAGCTATGTAAATTGCAACAGAGATGCCATCAACGAAAACAAACCTGTACTGAGGAAATGTCCACAAAGGGTACTTGCATTTGGTCCAGGCTTTACTCACTTTCAAAGGTTCAATTTAGAATTTTTTTTTTAGAGACTCAGATTTCATATTTGTTTCACATTCATTAATTTGTGCAAATATGTCCACATAATTTTATGTAATTGTACATATACACACACAAACATATATGCTTATGGACCATGTATCCACCAAAATAATGCAAATGTGGTTTAAGAAAAAAATATTTTCTAGCTAGGGAAGATTTATTAATACTTAGAATAAATTTAGTTTTATTTTGAGAGGTTGGTTGATAAGAATTTAAAGAAAGCTAAGTGAATGTTTACTTTGAATTAGTTTCCATTTTTGTTATGCCCAGTATTAACTAACTGTGTAGAATTTCTGAAGATTTTATTTTCCTTTGTACTTGGTAGGAAAGCTTACTATACCAGCATGGAATGGTATGAAATCTTAAGAAACTAAACAGTGTGGGCCATCTTTATAGGTGAGTTGTAGGTTGGCTTGCTAAAAAGTTTTTAAAGAGTAGTCTGAAAAAAATTTTGTTTTTAATAACTACTTTGAAGATGGAGATGTATATCTCAGTGGCAGGTGCGTGCATGCTTAGCATATGCAACACAACTTTGCTTTATTTCCTTAGTTTGAAAATTTGGTTATTTGTTGTTAAGCTTTTTTGAGTGTTAGGATTAAACGTTCCATTTCAGTTTCTTTCAGAATGAAAACTAGTTGATTTGAAGTTGCAGTTTTTGCTGGGTTTGCTTGTGCATGTCTGTAATCCCAGCACTCAGGAGGCTGAGACAGGAGGATTACTGTGAGTTCAAGGCTAGCCTGGATGGACTACACAAAAGACTGTCAAAAAAAAAAAAAAAAAAAAATTAAAGCTTACGAGCTTTTAAACAAGTGGTTTAAATTGGAAAAATAATGTTTCACTACAGATCAGAAAGTTTTTCTCTACACAAAGTACTGATTTAAAATTTTACCAACAAATTAAATTACACTTTAAATTTTGGATGTGATTTGTCCAGTGATCAAATCAGCATCAACAGTTGCTTATTAAGAGCATTGTGCTAATGGCTTTAGTGCCAGAAAAACAGATTCTTCACATTTGCCTTGTGCTTTACAATTTACCAGGCTTGCTCTTCACAGTATTCCCATCAAGAACAGGGCTTATTTGCCTCCTGGGAAATCAACACTTCACATCAGGGTTCACCCGGTCTTATGCATTAGTGTCAAGAACTTGGACCTGAGGTTAGGTATTCAGACTCCAGCACCTTTTCTTTCTTCAGGGATTTCTTTTAAGACAGATAAGATTATTCCAGGACAAAACTTAACAGTCGAGTGCTGTAGGACCTCTAGAGAGGAAAGAAAATACTTTGAGCAGGAAGATAGAATGTGTGTGTGTGGGGGGGGGTGGATAATTGGTTTGGCAGTTTGAACAGCCATTTGATGATAAGCTTAGAGATGTGAATGAGTAGGTGGAAATGAGTTTATAAGAATAGAGAAGCAAGAGGGCAGTCACACATAACCTTTACAGCAAAGTGGGGAGGTAAATTTGGAATGACTGAGAGGAAGCAATTGAAGAAGTTGAAGAGGGGTTCCAAAGTATTACTGCCATACCTTTCCTGGAATTGTTAAAGTGAGCGAAGGCCTAAATTCTCTGGTGAAGTTTTGAGTCAGGGCCTTAGAGAAGAGAGCTGTCAGCAGAGGTGGAAAGACTTATTTAGGGAGAGAGAAGTTTCAGCTTTGGTACCCGTAACTTACCACTGTGCCATGCTGGGAAAGCTATGCCACTCTATCCCTTACTCTGGTGATATCTGAATGGAGAAATTCAACTCAGCTCTCACCTTTTAAAAAACTGAAATGCAATAAAATACAGTAATTCTCAAGTTATAATATGTCACTCTTGTATATTTAAAATTATTTCATGCCAACAGCTCCTCAGTCACCTAATTATGTTCTTGCTCCTGCAGCCTGGAGTACTCGGGTACTTTGAGTTCAGTGGCTCGCCCCAGCCTCCTGGTTATTTGACCTTCTTCACCTCTGCATTGTATTCATTAAAGAAAGGTAAAACTGATTTGTATTAAGACAGTACTTTAACAGAGATGTCATTATTATATGTGTTATATTGTCATTTATAATCTCCATACTGATTTCCACAAAATATTGTCATATTTTGTAATTTGCTAGATTCCTTTTCTCAGTGTGTTTTTCAGTAATTATATTGTTTAATGCTGTCATTAAAAATTGCATACTATTTCAAATATATTCTCTAAAAAGCTTGTTTTTGAAAATATATAGTACGCAACAGTGTATTTTTATCACAGTATTTTTTTTTTAATTTATTTATTTTATTTATGTGTGTGTCCAGCTCAGCCCACCAGGGGGCGGGGCTGGCTGGCATGTGGTGCTGGGGGATTGAACCGCGGTCCTTGTGCTTTGCTTAGCTTGTTGTAAGTAGGTGCTTCAGACCACTGAGCCATCTCACCAGCCCCCATTATCACAGTATTTTAAAGAGAAAAAATAAAACAAATTTCAAAACAAGATAATAGGGTAGCAATGGTTAATACATTGTGTAATGCTCTCTTTGAATTATTCAGAGTACAAAATTCACCAGTTGTTGAAACAATATTAGCATAGACCTTTCTTTTCAATGAACTAAGATAAATTATGTGTATCTTTCCCTTCTTTTCTCCATCCCCCATCCCACTTTCTCCTTCCTTTTGAAGTTTCTTCCCATTTTACAATGTCTATTGTACATTTTGAATCTTACTTACTCATTTAGCTGCTCACATTAGGGTGACAATACAGTGTTTACACATGTGCTTCTGTTTTATTTCACTTATGAATATGTCTTGAGTTGCATCCATTTACCTATAAAATCTCAAGATTATAGTTTTTTGTGGTTGAGTAGAACTCCATGTCATAAAAAAGACTAAATTTTTTTATCCATTCCTTGGTTGATGGGCATTTGTGTTGTTTTCAAGATGTAGCTATTACACCTTGTGTTGCTATAAGCAAGGGTGCACATATATCACAATACTATGTTTTTAATTCTTCTGGGAAGATACCCAGAAGGGGAATAGCTGGGTCAAATGGGACCTCCAGTTCACAGATTTTTGAGGAATCTCCACACTAATTTCCATAGTAGTTGCACCAGTCAACGCTCCCAACAACACTGGAGAAGGGTTGCTTTTTCCCCACAGTGCCTCTCCCCCCCCCCCTTCTTTATTGGTTGATTTGTTGATAATAGCCATGCTTTCCTGGGTGAGATAGAATCTCAGTGTTGTTTTAAATTTTAACTCTTTATGTACTATTTTTATTTCTTTAAGAAGTGTAAGTTTATCTCAGATTTTCAGATGACCATTTTTGTCTTAGGTCTTTAAATTTGGGAGGTCTGGTTCTGGTTTTTATTTATTCATAATTCTTCATATCTTCTTGATAGTAATCCTTTGTGTGAGGAACAGCTGCCAAACATTTTTTCCCACATCAGAAGTTGTCTCCACTTTGTTGGTGGTTTATCTTGCTGTGCGAAAGGTTTTTAATAAGATGAGAGCCCAGTTGTTGTTTCTTTGTGGTAGTTCCTATGTGATTGGGTTTTTAGTCATAAAGTCTTTGCCTATATCAGTCTCTTCAGCAGTTTTACTTACAGTTTTACTTATTCTGTCTTCCAGCAGATTTAATGTTTTCTGTTTTAATAGATATTTTTGATCCATTTCAAATTCCATTCAGTGCATGATGAAAGATATGGGTCCAGTTTTAATTTTGGCATGTGCAGAACCAGTTTTTCCAGAACCAATTTTTGGAGAGGTTATCTTACTTCCAGTGAATGTTTTTGGCACCTTTGTCAAAGATAAGGTAGCTGAGTATGTCTGAAATTGTTTCTGCATCTTGTAATGTGTTTCATTAATCTTTGAGTCTTTTTTTTTTGCCAGTACCATGCTTTTTTTTATCATAGTAATTTTATAGTATAATTGTGCAAGTCAAGGATTGTGATGCCCCCCATGCCTTGCCTTGTTGCCCAGACTTGCCTTTGCTATTCTAGGTCTCTTCTGGTTCCAAATGAATGTTAGGATTGTTTTCTCTAATTTTTTGAGATATTCTTTTGGAATTTTGGTCATAATTACATTAAATCTGTGTAGCAATTTTGGAAGTATGGCCATTTCCACTATATTGGTCCTTCCTACCCCAAGAGCAAGAGATAGCTATTTTCTGATATCCTCTTCAATCTTTTTTCAGAGTACTGTAATTTTCAATGTAGAGGTCTTTTATATCCTTCATTAGATTTATTCCTGTATATTTCTCTTTTTTTTGGGGGGTATATTGTGAAAGATGTTGCTTTCCTAATTTCTCGGTGAGTTTTTTATTTATATATAGGAAGGCTATTGATTTTTGAGTATTGACTTTGTATTCAGCTACACTGATAAATTTGCTTATTAAATATTGCAGGTTTTTAATAGATTTTTTGGAATTTTTCTATGTAGATTGTTATGATATTTTCAAATAATGATAATTTAACTTCCTTTTTATCATTATTCCTTTTATTTCTTTTATCTAATTGTTCTGGCTCAAGTTTCCAAGACTCTATTAAATAAAAGTGGAGAAAGTATATATCTTTGTCTTCTTCCCAATTGGAAAGAAAGCTTTCTGTATTTGGCTGTTTATTATGGTGTTGCCTGTTGGTTTGTCATAGATGGCTTTTATCAGATTGAGATGAAGACCATCTATTACAATGTTCTGTATGGTTTTTATCATGAATAGGTGACTGAATTTGTCAGGTTTTTTCTGCATCTATTGAGATGATCATATAATTTTTGTCCTTGGTTCTGTTAATGTGGTGTATTACATATATTGATTTACGTATGTTGAACTATCCCTGCATCCCTGGGATGACTCCAACTTGGTCATGGTGTATAATCTTCTTAATGATTTGCCTTATTCTGTTTGCCAGTATCTTATTGAGGATTTCTGCATCTGTGTTCATTAGGGAGATTGGTGTGTAATTCTTTTTCTTAGTTGGGTCCTTCTCCAGTTTTGGAAGCAGGATAATGAATTTGTGAATATTGCTTCCCTTTCAGTTTCATTTAAGAGCTTGAGAAGTAGTGGTATTAGAGCTTCTCTAAATTTCTTACAGAATTCAGCAGTGAATCCACCAGGGCCTAGACTTTTCCCTGTTGGTATGTTTTTAATTACATCTTCAGTTTCATTGATTGGTATTGATTTATTTAGGACTTTTATATCTTCTTGATTCAGCTTTGGTAATTCATATAATCTAGGAATATTTCTACTTCTGCATTTTCAATCTTACTAGTGTTCAAAGTGGGTAAAAATAATATTCTGGATTTCTGCATGGTCCATAGTGATTTCACCCTTTTCATTCCTAATTGCATGGATTTTAGTCTTTTGTGTTTCCTTTTTTTGATAAAATTAGTTAAGAGCTTATCAGTTTTATTCAATATTTCAAAAGAACCAGCTCTTTGATATATTGATTCTTTGTTTTTTTTTTCTTAGTCTCCAATAAGTTATTTTCTTCTCTAATTTTTTTTTTTAAATATATTTTAGTATAGGGACTATAGGGTCTCACTACATAGATCGAACTTGTAGTGATCCTTCTGTTTTCAGCTTCCCAAGCACTGGGATTACAGGCACATGCCACCATGCCGAATCTCAATTTCCATCTCAGTGCGCCCTGGGGGGCAGAGCTGACACAACAAGCCAGGGATGGAACCTTGGTCCCTGTGCCTGTCTAAGCAGGTGCTTTAGTCAGCTGAGCTATTTGGCCAGCCCTCTAATCTGTATAATTTCCCCTATGTACAGGCTTTTGGCTTAGCCTGCTCTTGTTTTTTTAGAAGTTTGAGGTTCACCATTAGATTATTTATTTGTGCTTACTCTGTTTTCCTGATATGGTATTCACTGCTATAAATTTCCTTCTGAGGACTGCTTTCATTGTGTCTTATAAGTCCTGGTATGTTGTACTGTTTTTATAATTTAATTGTAGAAACGTCTAATTTCTTTAATTTCATCTGTGACCCATTGGTTATTCATATTTAATTTCTATGTGTTAGTCAAAAATTCCCTCAGTTTTTTGTCGTAGAAATATCTCATTTCTCTAGTTTTAAAAGATAGTTTTGTGGGGCACATCAATCTTGGTTTAAGGCTGCTTTCCTTTAGAACTTGAAATACTTCACTCCAAGTTCTTTTTGACTTGAGAGTTAGTGGTGAGAAGTCATCTGTGATTCTGATGGGCTTTTGTTTATAGGTGATTTGTTTATTTTCTCTAAGAGCTTTTAAGATCTTAATCTTGTATTGAATTTCCAAAATCTTGACTGTGCATGCCTGACTGTAATTTTTTTAAATTGTGGCTAATTGGAGTTTTATATGTTTCATTTTACTGTATCTCAAGTTCTTTTTCTCTACCAGGGAAGTTTTCTACCACCTGTGAAGTTTGTTGTTGGGGTTTTTTTTTAAAAGAAACTGAATTTTGTTTTTTTGTTTTGTTTTGGTTTTATTTATTTATTTATTTGTGTGTGTGTGTGTGTGTGTGTGTGTGTGGCCAGCTCAGCCCACCAGGGGGCGGGGCTGGCTGGCATGTGGTGCTG